TTAATTATTATTTTAAGCATTTCGTCGCCGATGACTTTAATATGGTAACAAGTTTTTCATACTGAACTCATAATTCCCCACGAGAACAAAAAATCAATTATTGTCGTCATTGTGGAACAATACATGTATATGCCGACGGAAATTTTCGATTCAGGGATAATAAACACCGGCGTAAAGATGTTTAAAAACATGCCATGCTGACGAAAACAATCGGCGATTGTAACAAAATACATTCGCGCACGTTATCAGCGGCCTTTTAGGTCTTCCGAAAATGTCAAAAGGGAAAAGATTCGATCCCTAATTTCTTAATGTTTGTCAAGTGTCAAATTTACAGCTTTAGTATTCATAATTTATCTTTGAAATTTAGATTTATTTATGACTTGTATTAACCCTATTAAAAAGGTTTAGCATTTAAATTAAGTACTTTCAACTTTACTCAGGAATATTAATGGATAAGTAACAATTTTAACATTTCTTTTGGGGCTTCGTGGATACTAGTTAACCTTTTCAAGGGCTCCGCAACACCAAAAGTTTGAGAACCATTGCCTTAATGCATTGTCCGATTATGAATCGTGTTTTTTGTATTCTTGTATTATTATTTTTTTTTGTGGGCGGGCGCATACTTTTACGTTTTTTAACTTAATTTTAAGTTATGCTCGCCTTCCAGGTATCTCTGCATTTTGTTTGTTCGTCTACTTTTTGTGCTGTTTTGTTTTATGTCAGAGTACCGAAATAAATGATTGATTTATTATAAATATATATATATATAAGTGTAAACAATTGATTTTGCCTTATATCATAAAAATGCAACCCCCACGGAGAAGATTTCACCTAAGTCTTCGGCAGAGGGCGAAGCGCAGTTTAGTTGGTACTCTCGTGGTCTGTGTACCAGATTGGGGTTGGGCCATAACCTCATTCCGACTTTTCTTATTCTAGTTATATTACGAGTTCGGGGATTAATAATATGTGTGTGTTTGCCAAGTGAATATATCCTGTGCCCATGGTCTGTTCCTTTACACAACTTGGTGTAGAGTAGGCGAACAATATTAGTTACCTCCATATTGGGACACGCACTTATGGAGCGCTCTTCAGTTCTATTTATATGTACAGCTCGGGTACTACGGAACCAGGCCACGCAATGATATTGAGATCGCTACGCAAAATACTTGAGGCGATAAAATAAGGCCAAATACAGGGAAGCGATTCCGATAAGCCATCTTGGCTAATGTTTGTGGTCGTTTTTGTTCGCTTTCGACTGATACGTTGACCATATTATTAACCCACGACTTTCGCAAATTTATAAAACTGCCAAAATTAGCACCGTATGGTGGGCTGGGATATACTAGCTTTTGATACATAATGAGAAATGAATCAAGATCAGGAGAATATGCGAGAAAAATCGACGCAAATGATTGATTTCTGTCAAATCCCATGAGAAATGCATTACGCATATATATCGTAACACAGGGGTCCGCAACTACGAAGCCCTCCGCTCTGGGTCGCGAAACAATTTAAATTTTCCATAAATATGAGCATCGCGTCTGTGTAGCGTATTTATGTATAACAACTTTATAAATCTCTGATTATAATTATGAATGTTTCCCCGAGTATACACTTCCTTATTTACTGCCGTAACATTGGCCAATCAGCATAAGTGCAAACTTGAAGTAACAATAAACGTTTCAGAAGCGTTCGGTTACTTTTGCCATTCAGACAGATTATCATGGTTGTGAAAATTACCTCGTTTTGTCGGTTTTCGCGTGTTATTTGTTAGATTTAAGTTGTGTTTTGGTAAATATAAGTCCTAAACTTCTTGAAATAAGTACCAATAATTTTGCAATGGTAAAGTGTAAAGAGGCAGAATTCAAGAGATCAAAAGTCGAGGAAACATTCGTTACTTAACTTTTCGCATTGTAATATCCTACTACGTAAACTTTAGGTTCTCAAAGTGCTCCGTACGGAGCCTCAGGACTCCGTTGAAGATACTTAGGGTCTCCGCGAGCTATTCGTTTACTTGAAAACTTTCCTCGACCACCCTCAACTTTCCTATCCTCGACCCACTACGCTATCTTTCTATCCTCGACCCACTGCCCTATCTCCCCAACTTTCGCATCCTCGAACCACCGCTCTATCTCCCTCAACCTTTCTCTTCTCGATCTACTGCCCTATCACCCTCAACCTACCTATTCTCGACCCACTGCCCTATCTGCCACAACTTACCTATCTTTGACCTACGGTGCTATACTATTCAGTACCTGACCTATAACGGCGCTTTATTCACGACCCGATCGCCACACTGAACTTTACTATCTTGCGACCAACTTCCATGGGTTATACTGGTCGTGTATGCCAATGAGATGATTCAATCGTACGTCGACAAAACATTCATATATGTAGACTGGAATCTCAAATGGTAAACAATAACCATAATTGGCACTTTAAAAATGTGTTACTAATTGGACTACTTATGGTTTCTTGTTGGGAATGACAGTTTTCTAAATGTTAACAAGCCTTTTTATGCCTTTAATAATTTGCCATTTCGTGAGTCTTGTGACAGTATGATGCTGATCCGAAATAAGCAATAGTGCTCTGGTCCTTTTTTCTTCAACATTTTATAGTAAAAGCGATGCCAAGGATTACGTACGAACTGCGTCCTTTGCAACTTCATTAAATATATTAGTAATTCTACTAAGCTGCATTTAATCTTTTGTCAAGCTGGTGATACATTTTCAACACGTTCTTCGAGCCCACCATATACTAATATACAGTATATATATATATATATATTTTTTTTTTTCCTCTCTTTTCATATATCGAATGTTTGTATATATTATTGTTTACCGTCATCTAAAGCCCGTGGAATTTTATTGTTTAAACGAGTTCTCAACAAAACATGCCCTCCCCCAATGTGAAGTTTTCTGTGATTATATCGAATTTGTCAAAGTAGTATTTAAAAAACCAACTTTTCCAATAGTCATTTTCAATGTGAACCGTAATCACATCAGCAAATAGGGTGCAGGTTGACCTCGATGAGCGCATGGTCGTATTGCTCCCTCCTGTCCATACTAAGCAATTTTCATTTTATTTTTGCTACATTTTTTTGTATTGATGACTGTTTGAATATTTGTTGACAAAATAACAAATATCTCTCTATTTCTATACGGAACCGGGTTCCGTGGATGTGATCAGTATTGTACTTGATTAAAGTGTAGTATAATATATACACAATTTTACACATGCCCTCTGAATTATACAATAAATCTGAAGTAAAGTGTCGAATAGTAGAAATTTTTTTTTATCAGCCGACTCATTTTCTGTCTTTATTTTATAATTTAATATTGTGATAATCCATACTGACAGTCTGATCACAGCGCAAATATAATGGTCACGAGTCTCGGTGACCTGTAAAAGTCTAGCATACTGACCAACACGATTCAATGCTTAAGTATTCACTGCACTGTATTTCCATAAAAATTTGTAGGCCTATTATTGTCCTTTTTTAACATTGTTGTGTGAAAATAAAATTTCTCTCTCTTACTCAAGTTTTTTTCTTTCCGGGTTCTATAATTTTTTTTTTTCGAATATTTTATCGTCCACTATGCTGATTATGGAGCTGAAACAAACCTATACGTTGCAATATTTAGCTACTCGCTTCAAAAAGGGCGATTAGTTGTTTGGCAGCTGGGCTTGGCATGAAACCTAAATAAACTTAGGTCATAAAAAGTCCAATCGGCCAACGACGAATTTTAGAGATGCAAATGAGATGACTCAGTAAATGTTGATAGTTGAGAAAAATATTCACATAGCAACTACATTGAATAATCCACAGACACGTTTGACGGTGGAGGTTTTGGTTACTGGAACATTTTCAAATTTTAATTTAGTCCCTTACCTTGCTGTCCGTAGATGTGGGTTGTTTTCTTTTAAAAGCTAAATTTATTTTGACGGGTACTATTGCGGACATTTGCGATTATTTTATTATGTTTAATTTTATAGCCAAACAAATTTCGAGGCTAGGCACAATGCATTAATTCGCTTGTATGTCAACTGGCCGCACGTACAGCTGCTAACTGCTACGTAATTGCGTAACGTTGCTAGTTAACGAAGTAATTGCATGCATAACATCGTTGTTCACGTCAAGTTGGCACAGCGGACATGCGACGACGAAGGAAATATTGAATGAAATCCTTTTAAAATTTGACGGGTGCATCATAAATTCAATTTAATGGTAGCATTCGAAAGCTATCTAGAACCTCTATACAAATGTGTCAATAATCTATTAGTTTAAAACGAGAACAAATCAACGTTTTTTCATTTAATTTGGAAGCATTTCAGCTTATTAATTGTATTTCAAACGATGTGAAACTTGTCCAAATATAATATAGGGTTCACGAGATATGAGGTTTCAAAGTTGCATACAAAGTGATGGAAGAGACGGTGTGTATACAAACAATCAAAAAAAAAATTCTTTCTAAAATTTGCAAACTTGGACTGGCATTTCATACTTAAAAATAAAATAACCATCGACTATTGAGTTCTTAAGTATTAAGTTCAGGCCGGTTCGTAAGAAGACTAGATCAAACTCAGTTTTGTTTAACTCCAAGCTTGCGTGCAGTAGTTCAGTTAAAATATATTATTTGATTTTTTACAAATATTAGTAGCTGTTATTTTGGCGCTCCAGAAGTGGAGGTAATTAATTTTGTTCGCCTACTTTGCATCAAGTTGCATGTATAATGTTTCGATGACAGATTATATCTTCGTTTTCCATCATTTAGATAATTTATATCTGGGAATTTTTCTTCTTATATCTCATGTGGTCTCTTTGGCGTGTACGACAAGGTTGACGATTGTGGGAGATCGACGCAACACAAGTTCTCACAGTTCATGATGAAAGCTTTAAATTAACGTCCATGTATTTTTTCTTTTCAATAACAGATATAAAAGCTCTCGACAAAATAAAATCGAAAACTGACTAAGTTTAATCTTTAGCATATATGTAGGCCTAATATTTTTTCAATAAGTACTTTATTTTTGCTATATAGAGAGAATGTGTAAGATATAATTCAGACAGAGGGTTTGCAAGCGTTTAAATCAGTGTCTCCTAACCTTTATCTATAAATCCTTTTGCATATTTTGGAACTCTTATTCCTTCCTTGCTATGAAAAAAACTACTTTATTTGTTCAATCTTCAAAGGTTCTTTATAGATAATGCTAAGAAGAAAGAAATTTCGACGTTGAAAAAATATTTTAAACTTTTGTTTAATCAAATTGGCTAATTTTATATATATAACAGAAACGCTCATACATTCAATTTGCGATACTATATTTAGATTTACCAAAATGGGTGATTCTCAAGCATTTGATATCATACTCCTAATTTTGTGCATTGCATGTACTCATGCTCAGAAACAAACTTTGTCTCCTCCTTACACTTGTACCACAACAACGACTTTATGTCAACCTGGGGACGATGGCTATACACGACCAAATACCGGTACTCAAGTTTCACAAGGAAGACCTGGCAAGAGGGGTGCAGCTGGTGAAAAGGGGGAAAGAGGTGAAAAAGGTAATCCTTGTCAATGCGATACTGCCGACGAGGAGGCGCTGAGAAGTTTGAGGAAAACGATGAACTTGAAGTTTGAAAAGTTACAAGGTGAGTGGCACAGCAACAAAACAATAAAGAATGCACTAAACTGATAGCAATGTAGCATGTAGTTTTCCGTTTTCAGGTCTAACTAATTTAAAACCTGATAATTATTATATTATTCAGTTTAATGGGTAGATCTAGAAGTATAAAAGCAACATAAACTAATTCATTGATCAATTTAGACCAGCTAAATCTGATTGCACTTCCCTCAAACTGCGAAGAATATCAAATGCTTTTAATTAAAGACGATGGAAGATCTGAGAAGTTGACTAAAGTATATCCGTTTAAACATATTGGAAACATGACATATGATTTGGTGAACTGTAACTTGTATCAGGTGGACAGTGATGGTTGGATCGTAAGTATGATCAGTCAATATTAATACTTGACTTTTTTTATAGATAATTTATAGATACAATAAACTATAATTTTGTTCTCAATTATCGGGCATTTATTGTTATCCACCAGATTTGAACCATGTATATCATACCCCAAATGCGCTCGTTAGATTCGACTCGAACGTGATAGCTTCACTATGCGCCCCAAAATTCATTCAACCCAACTTCTCATAAAATAATGTATTAGTATTGCATTGCTGAATCCAGAAATATAAAAATGTGGAACAAGAACGAAGGCAATTTTAATCAAATTTCACTAAAGATCATCCAAAAAAGATCCAATGGGTCTGTCGACTTCTACAGAGATTGGGAAACTTATGCAAGAGGATTTGGAGAAAGAGATGGAGAGTTTTGACTCGATGAGTTGTGCGGTGTACGATTGTAATAGAGTAGGTTGTTAGGTCAAATAGCGTACAATTTGAGTCTTAACAATTTTCAAACTTCGAGTCCCAAGTCAAGTCGCTTCACCCCGACTGGAGTCCGTGTATTCGCGGGTCAAGTCAAGTCTGAGTCATTGTAGATATTGTAAACATCAGCGAAATGGATAAATTTGAGTCGCAATGACTCTTAAAAATTTCACCTTGTTTTGTATAAAACCTTATTTCAACTAACCGGATTTCTAGCAGATATTTTAGCATACAGCTTTTGACTCGAGAATCAAATCAAGTCAAGTCGAGCCGTCAGTGAAACTCTCTGGCGAAAATGAATTCCACAGAAAAAAGAAAGTATTATATTAATTTCCTCATATTTTTTTTCGTAGGTCTGAGAACTTTACATCAAATTACCAGTCATGGAGACTTTCAACTCCGAATCGATCTCAAGTTTCAAAGTGGTTCCGTAAAATACGCTGAATATAGGTAAAAAAAAATATAAAGTATATATAATATATATATACAATTCTTGAAAATTGGGTTTTTTAATTTATCTATCATTATTAAATTTGTTTTTAATTTTTATTTTCAGTTCTTTTGCAGTAGGAAATGAAAATTCCAAGTTCAAACTGACAGTATCAGGATATTCTGGCGACACTGATGATCGAATGACTCACCATAATGGTCACGTTTTCTCAACTTTTGATATGGATAACGATAAGCACACGACTTGAAATTGTGCTTCGTATTATCATAGAGCGTGGTGGTATAATGCTTGCTATCATTCGAATATGAATGGAAGGTACAATACTGATTTCGACTGGCCACATGGTACACATCTGGCATCAAGTGAAATGAAAATTCGTCTGACGTAACATTGCTTCTTGTCAATAATAAACAAATGAAACAAGATTTGAATAGACTTGTGAATATATTGTTTAAGTTGATATCTGAATGACTTTAATGCACTATTGGAATATCGATGATAATTTTTCCTAGATTTTGGAAGTGTGTGCGTCTCATCTTGTCTACAATGAGTGTTTATGGTAGCGCTACAAATTTTTAATCGTCTGGTACGGGGAAGCAACCCTATATATTAATGACAAATAATTTTGGATTTGGATAAATAGGTTGGGTACATTGTACCAAATACGCTAAAATGAACAGCGAGTGAAAAGACGATATCATATTATTTGCACAAAGCAAGCAAGCATTCAATTGTTAGACAATTAGTTCATTATTTAGCCTCGCCAGATCTTGCCAGGTTTGACGTTAATAAAGATCTAATAATTTTTAGTCGTTAAGTGTTGAAAATCCACTAAAAAACTTTGCCAAGTATCATTTTATATCTGAACAGCGAAAAATAAATATCTCAAATCATGAATGTTACATGACTGCAAACTTCAGTGATTTACAATTTCCGCCAAGTCCGATTCTTCGCTTTCTCGGAATTAGAATAAATTGGTCATTGTGATGCCACTGCTACCGTTGCGAATACTATATTCTTGGAGTGAGACAATAACATCTTTGCATACAATAACAATTACATACTGCGGAAGTTATTGTAGGATAGTTTTTCAGTTAAGAATCACGATATTCGGCACGTTAATCCTAAATTTGTGCAGCGGCAAAACTTTCATTTGTCACATAATATTATGCTCTATCGGACTTGCCCAGACTCAAATACAATACGGTACTGTTATGTGTATATCATATTTTGCGCATGTGCAGTAGGCTACTGTATTCGCCCTATTTCAAAACACATAACAGGCTCTCCATGAAAATGATTTAGAGCATTTTGTTTGGGGGGGGGGGGGCAGTACTGTATATTGTTGAGTAAACGAATAGCTCGGGCAGACGCAAAGTTTCTCTCACGGAGCCCTGGGGCTTCACAACCTTTTTTTCCCTAAAGAAGTGGTCCACAACCACCGGTCCGCCACAACCTTCATGCCGGTCCGCCAAACATATTTAAATATTATATCTCAATTGCAAAATGCATGGCATTGATGGTCTGTCAATTTATCATTAGAGTTTCAACTCTTTCCGGTTCGTGAACCATACGTGAACCAAACTTGGTCAGAGTCCTATGCCCATTTTAAAGCCTGAGCGACTGAATGAATTTGCCACAGTTTTTGCATATCGCCTAAAGGGAATACCTCGACTTCAGTGCCAAAGCCCATCAATCACTGCTGACAAATCAAGCACTTCTAACACTAGTTTACTTAGTTCTTAAAATTCATTTTGTTATAATATAAAATCATAATATCATGTAGAAATACTAAACAAAAATGAGGTAGCTTAATCCCCTTTTAATTCTCTCAAGCTGAAAAAACTTCCAAACATATTGCAACAATTACTTTTGAGGGTTTGGTTTTGGATGAAAAAATGCTGAAAACATTATTGCTAAATGTAAAATATAATGTAAAGTTGTTTACTGTCTATAACTGCATGTTAAAACAAATAATATAATAAAAGTTAAGAATTATAAAAACTGGCATAACACTGAGGCATATCGTCACCATTACTGAGCAAACAATAAAAACAAAACTGTTCAGCGTGCAATGTTCAATGCTCATTTAAACATGACTAATCAATTAAAAAATGTTGGTTGAGTTACCGGTAATGTACTACCGGTATATTAAATATTGTTTTTGAGTTGTTACAAATGAATATATGCTTACTACCAACTTTATTAATATCAGACAAAGTATCAGAGGAAGGCAGCCTCTTTTAACATTTGTTTGGCACAGAACTACAGCTTCCAGCAAATCTTCTGAAATGGAAAAATGCTAAAGCTTTAAGATGTAAAAGTTTGCAGTTTACACCTCTTTCATAGTAATCTTTGTGATCATAGAAAAAAATACTGTAGTCTTCACTTCAGATCGGGCGTGGATGACCCAAGAAATACTTTAAGTGCTGCAATATTTGCTTTAATCAATTTAGCTCTTATAGTTCCTTTGATCAATCTTTTATGAGCCTCCAGCCTGAAATGGTAAGGAATTGAATGCAACAATTTGAATTATAGATATCTTAAGATACTGCACCATTACAAAAACTCGACGTTTGACACATGCAATATACTATGAGCCAGAAACACACTTGCACCGATTACCAGCAAATGATTAAACTGCTTTTCAACTTTTTTCAGAGAAACATGTAATAAGATTATCCTATATTTGTATATATAGTATACAGCCGCATTTGAGTGTTGATAGCATATAAAAATTCTGTCGAAAATGAAATACCTGTGGCATCCTCCAAAACAATAATAGTAATTTCCACCAAGTCTCCCTTTTATCCATATAACATCAATAGGTGGTACATCATCAATATGATCCTGCGACAAAGTATGATAACAGCATAACACACATGAACTTTTCCATGTGATTATATATGAGAATTTTATCATTACAACTTTGTGGAAACAGAGGACTTAAACCTTGATTGTCTAGTCATGACTTAAGGTTATCAAAAAATGACTGTCTCCCACTGTGAAAGCCACATTAAAGCACAAACTAGTGTTTTCTATCAAAACTGATGTTACTTGTTTGTTGTTTCCCAATAAAATATCTGGGGGGACCTTATTGGATTTGATAAATGTTTTAAAGATTGCAAATTAATGCCAATTTTTAACACTAGCAAACCACAAACGTTATTTTACCATGTTTATAGTTTATAATAATCACATTTATTTATTTATTTATGAACGGCCACCACTTCATAAATATATCCTGGTTATGGGAAACTTGTAATTGCCCAAATATTTGGGTACTCCCATATTGTGTGTACCAGGTTAGGGTTAGGCCATAAATTTATACAGATTTTCCTTATTTTATTTCTATTACGAGTTCGGGGACTGTCTGTGTTAGCCAAGTGAATATACCACACACCCTGCCCATAGGTTTCAGTCCTTATACACCCCAGATGTAAAGTAGGCGAACAAAATTTGTTACGGTACCTTCATATTGGTACACAAACTTCTGGAGCGCCAATATTTGACGTTGCAAATCTCAAATATTAGTTTAGCAAAGGAACCTCTTTCCTCTGCCACTATACATCACTGTTTTTCTCTCAAAATTTTCAAACATGCATAATCAATGGAAAGTTAACTGACCTGAATAGTTTGCATCAAAGATTTAACTTTACTTTCATCAATACTCGAATGAAAAGGTTGAATCAGTTCTTCTATAGGAATATTGTGAACTTCATTAATATGATCGCCGTGTATACTCATAACAGTTGAATAATCAATTTCCGCAGCTTGATGTGCACCAAATTGAAAGCATGGCTAAAATGAAAGACTACGTAAGTATCAATATGATAAGCGCTGAATAACCTAACTGATTAATTCTATATTTATCAAACCTCCACATTATTAGATACTGGTAACATACACAACTGGAAATTATTGAATTCACAATTCCAACTTCAACACTAGTTATTTTTTGTTGTCTAAATTCACAGGTTAGATCAGGGGTTCCCAAGCTTTTTTCAGGACGACCCCTAAGGCAACTTTGAAGTGTCCAGTGCGACCCCAGGTCAATATATATATTTCCATGAAACTTTAGACATACAGACATATGCAAAAATTTTGAGCCATGCCCACTACCGGTACCTGCACTAGAAGCACTTGTGGTACCGGTACGTACTAAACTATACACCAACAGCAAGGCAGCGTTTCTCAAATTGTGTGCCGAGAGTTTCTCAGGTGTGCCTAAGCATGCAACGGACAAGCTTGTCTGCTTGTGAGACTTGAGTGCGCACTATCCATTAGAATGATTAGATTAACTGATAATATTACCGCATTTGCCTCGTCGATGTAGTAATCAGTAATAATGATTACTACCGTTACGTTATACAGTTATAATTCAATTGTATTGATTAACAGTAACCGGTAACTAATGGTATTCCTATACCAAGTATACTGGTATTAATGTACGTATTCCAGATTCAGGTATTTTAAACTAGACTTCCACCCTCCACCGTGTGCGCTTAGTTAGGATTCACATATTTATACCGGGGAGAGGAAAACCGATAAGACTGCCTAACGATATGGCGAACCATAGCTTCTTGACGGGTTACTGTACCGGTACCGTAGACTACCATTCCATCGGAATAACTTATAATACATGAATACTGGAATACATAGAGACTACTCACGTTGTAATTGATTTGTGCAAACGTTCGTTTTGTCATCGTATTTCTCTTTTGTCCTCTCAATTCAACAATTTCCCATCAATCGATTGCGAAACAAGGTACAAAGAAAATCCTTTTTACCGGGATACGGTACTTGAAAAGCAGGCACCTTCAAAGTTTCTCCATCGAAGGAAACTAGAAGTTTGTTGCCCTCAGGCAGTTGACGGCAACTTGACGCGCTGTCACATTAGGAAAGGTCTGACGTCAGTTATCGCTTCCATCGCTCGCGGATAGGATTAACATTGAAATAAAGTACTAACCGCTGCTTTCCTCATTTGCCCTAGCCCAGCGGTTCTCAAACTTTTTAATATCGTTACCCTATATACTTTATATCGAATGACAAAAAGATCATTTACTTACCTTTCACAAAAAGTTCCAGCGCACCATTTTTAAAATTAATATCAACAAGAACATAAGAATCCATAAACACAAGAACAACGCCCCGACAGTCTACAAATATATCGGAGAGCGATCGGCAACTTTCAGGAATGATGCGTCGGACCATATTGCAGAGTGTGGTTGGATACAGTCAGCGGGCCGTATGTTGCCCACCCCTGTGCTAGGCGTATGGTTCAGGTAACTCGCTTGTGTTTCACTGATTGCGGACAGACCTTCGTTGATGTGGATTACTGCAGCACGGATCGGAAATGAACTGTACCAGAGAGTGTCAGGAAAACGCAAGGTTGAACAATTCAGAGAAAGACGAAAGGAACGTGCCGACTACCAGTGCCGGTAGTTTGATTAAGCTTTTTATGCCCGTCCTGATTAAATCATAATCAGGTCGTGTAGATTTTAGAGAAAAAATAAATGGAGTAGCCTTCTAACGACTTCTTCCGTCTCTAAGTACAGAAGTACTGAAATTATCAAACTGATTATTTAAACACGATTTTACATACCACTGTGTTATGGACAACACAATTTGGTTACATACTGGTAACTATTTTTGCAATTTGGAGGATCTGGGGTTGGAAAAGACAACTGACAAGTCTGAAAGTGGAAAAGCTGGAAAGTGAATATAACAGAGTTGTGAAGAAATGTGACTTTTTGCCCACAGATATTGCACTCATAACTACACAAGCCAGTTTAATTCTGTAATTTGATTTTTTTGATCCTGTTGGAACTTATATTTGGCCACTTCATGAATGGTATTAATCAGCACTTCACCATATCTCAGGATGTCCTGTTCACTTTATAACAAAGTTAAGGAGAGTTTTCACTATGAATACTAGTGGCGGCGCGTGGTCATTTTGACAACCGGGGCAAGCTACTGCGGGACCAGGTCACCCCCATCTACGGGGACAGGATGAGCGCTGTAAGTTCTCCCATTATTTTATGAGTATAAAAACCATTCCATCGGTAACAACCAATCGGCAAAAGCGACAATTTTTAACGATAAGAAAGTGTCTTTAAAACCGGTCCAAGTCAAGGGATTAATAAATATAGACATAGTTTATTTTGAAACCTCTTTCAAAAGGAAAGGCAATATTTACCCAGATAAATACAATGACATATTAACAGAAACTTCGGGAAAGCAGACAAAACCTAAAATAAGGTTTAAAACGTTACTACGAAGAAAGGAAAGTTAATGCAAAGACAAGAGAGCTATGCACAAATATATGGACACGTTAGACCAGAGCGAATCAGTCCTTACCGGTACCTTTGACGCTACCGGTACCCTCAAAAAAGTTCTGAATTTCCAGTAGCAAGAATTTTGCAGAATCAAAACGTACAGCCAGTCATGACACTGACTAAAATCCGTGTTCCCATGGATAAAAAACAATACAGCAAAATTTTAGACAAAATATCAAATTTCATAGAATTCACGCAAAATTTTGAAATAAATAAAAGTAATAGCCTTCTAGCGAAAAAAATTATTCTTTAACCACTGAAAATTTCAAAGCAATTGGTCCAGTATTCGAAGAGAAAAGCGACTTTTTAAAAACGTGTCAAAGAACAAGAACAACATAATATTGAAACGATCGTTATGGCCACTAAACGTGTCCAATAAGAACATGCGTCGCTCACTCATAGATATATATGCTGCTAGACTTCTACTGCTTGAACATATATGCAACACGCCGCGGTTTCTTGGAAGCAAAATGCTCAATAACGCGCTGATTAAAGTCATGCATCCCAGAAATAACGTCTCTGTGAATGGATAAAACAAGGAATTTAATCGATCTTGCTTTATTGTGTTTCTGAGATACGTTTTAATACGCTTCAGCGTGCTGAATGTTCGCTCTGCGTCGGCGGAAGAAATAGGCGTCGTCAAAATGATGACCAGGAATTTTGCAGACGCCGCAAAGGTAGTTACTAGAGTGTTATCTATGAGGAACCCATAGAGCGCGCAAGTTGATGTGATGTTCAAAAAAGTTTGATTGGTGTATATACATCGCAATTCATTTTCCAATTTACCCACGTTTATCATGGGGTAAAATTTGGAGACAGTAGCCAACAAATGGATGGGAAATTGACGTGCAAATTTTGAAAAATTTTTGGGGTTCATCAAAGAGAACGCGGCAAGGTGTTCAGTGCGCAGACGATCGCCTATTTGATTCACCAGAATGTCACAGCATTCCTTTGCAGACAAAATCAAACGCTGCGTTGTTTGCCCGCGGCGTAAAGAAGCACTCCATGTGTCGTCGTATTTTATTGTTTCCCGGATACGAGATACAGCATCGCAGAAGTCTGAAATACACGACTGCACAGACGCTCCATCCATTAGCCTTGACTGCAATGCGCCGTATAATACATCCACGTGATAGAATATTGTGGAGAAAAAAATGAAAACTCACCATCTTCTAGCAGACGCTTTAGACCTGCCGCCTCCCTCACAGAGCGTTCGTCCCAAACTCTGAATGCCAAAACACTCAATGAGCTCAGACCTAATTTCGGACACGCCCTGCACCACGCGTGATTGGAAGTTCCAACGTGTTGGTGCACAAGCTGGGAGACGGCGGCTACATATCTGGCGAAGGAGGTCAGAGCGCTTCGGCGAAACGGAAAAAAATGAAGAAAACCCCGAAACATTTGCAAAAAATATACGGACGAGAGGGGTATCAAGACACATATTTTTAATAACGAGGTTAAATTGGTGTGCATAACAATGTAAAAAATGCGCATGAGGAAAATCTTCTTTTATATAAACTTGAACACCATGTTTCGACCCACTCATGACTGCCGCGCCGTCATAAGTTTGAGCTATCAATTTTGACTTCGCGTTGTAAGGCTGTAACACTTCTTTCAGTACAGCCGATATCCCGCAAGCCGTGCGATCAACGATTGGTACAAAGCTGTGAAATCTCTCGGTAGGTTTACCATCTCTCACAAACCGAAAAATCACAGCCAGTTGGGAAACGCACGTGATGTCAGTTGTCTCGTCAGACTGAATCGAAAGGAACTGGCAATTCTCAATTTCCAGATTTCAGAGCCAAATGTTGTAAATAAATTTTATACATTGCGTCGAGCAAATCATTTTGGATATCCTTAGATGTCCCTTTCGAAACAGTTGCGGCATCAAGATGATCTCTCAATACTGTATCTAGGGATGCGGTGTATTCCACCATATCCAAAAATACCCCTCTATTAGAAGAGCCAGCCCGTTCATCGTGCCCACGGAGGGACAGCTCGTGACAACCAATGAACTTCAAAACATCTATCAATCGACCGAGAACATGGCGGTTTTTCTCGACGTTTTGGTTGTGCCGACGAATAGAAACCGCGCGTCCTTCATCCAACTGTGCTGCAATATTAACATTTCCGAATGTTCGGTATTTTACTGCATTGTCCAGATGCTCCATAGAAGATTGATGATCCCTGGCACGCTCGGAAAGATGTTTAAGATCTCTAAAACCAAATTTACACCAACGTGAGTCACGGGCGGTAGCAAAAAGTAGGCAATAAAAACAAAAAAGTGCATTTTTGTCCTCGCTGTAACACAACCATTCGTGTTTTTTATACCAAGTTTCTGCGCAGAATGTACGCCGACGCTTTCCTCCGTCATGGGATTGTTCCAGTGAACAATTTTTTGGTTGATAAGGCCCAAGACGTTGTACCTCTAATTTTTGTTCCAGCGGCAGCTGCGAAAACGGAGTGCGAAGTAGTGCATCAACCTTATTCATTATGAGGTCTAAGGCTAAGAAATGCGAAGCCGGAAAGAAGTGAGGAGCTCAAAAGGAATGTGGAAAATCGAAAGCAAATGGACTAAAGGTCTCTAACTGATTCAAATAGCGAAACAAGCGACAAAAACGAAGGCGAGGAAACTATCAACTCTTCAAGCAACCAACGAACGAGAAGGAATGCGTGAATATGTCAACACGTTGTTGTAAGAAACGTCGGCATTGTGTCGTCATAATTTCGGGGCTAGCCCGATCGGCCCGATGATTTAGTAAAAGAAACAGAAAACAAACGAGACAAATGCGGCGAGTGTAAGATAAAAGAGAGAATACGATATACAATGAGCAACCGGGGCAAAATCGGCGTCGCCCCGTCGACGTTCGGCGAAGGCTTTGCGAGCGAAAAATGAATCATGTCGGGAGAATATGGCTAGTGTAGACAGTCTGTGCAACCGATATTGAGGTATTTTTCGAATATTTTTTTATTATACCGAAAAAACAACCGGGGCATTGCCCCGGTTGGCCCTATTCACGCGCCGCCACTGATGAATAGTATAGTATGGTGGTCAACCATGTATTTATTTATCTGTCTTGCACATTTGATAGATTTTTGGTGATTTTTTGCATTTCTGACAGCAAGCGATGTCTCCCATAGATTTTGACTTGTTTATTTCTATGCTATATAGGAATCTCAGACCCAAAATTTACAGAATTCGAGATCAGCTTTATTTATATATATTTACTGCAAGGCTAATCCTGGCGATTTCTCAGCTACTATAATCGTATACGAACATTTGAAACATCTATCAGAGACGGAGGAGGTCGTTGGGATTCCATTACATTTAATTTTATCTACCTGAATTTTGCTGTCTTATTTCAAGCGCAACACTTATTTTACTCAATGTAAATTATCCACTGATTCAAGCAATTATTTGGCTTTTATCATTTTAAATTGTGTTATAAGCACTGCCCGATTTTGAATCGTGTCCATATTAGCAATATTATTTTCACAAAATCAGTCAGAGCATGGGTGTTTAGCACAAGAAATATTTCATGATATATATAACAAAACTAGCTTCAGTTGTTGCATCGGATTCCTTGCCAAATGATATCATAAATTTCTGCCATGCGGGGTTAATTGAGCGAGAGGATTGCTGGAGTTCTTGCGGCCGTAGGGTGGTTCACGTAACCGCTGGTCGGTTACGGCTTCATCTACCATCAAGTCTGTGCACCAGAAAACAAATAATTGGCAAACTAATCCCTTATCCGACATTGACTGGAAACCGGACAATAGGCCGTGGTTATATGGTTATATGACGATGGCATGTGATTAAGCCGTCATTCCGGCTGTACTCCAGGAGATAATTATGTGAATCTTATCTATCACGGCATACCGCCAGCAACAAAACATTTGGCCATCATAACGTGGGATTTGTCGCTTGACTGATTTAAAATTCCATTCCAATGATTTTCTCACTAAAACATAATTTGTCCTAATCATTGATGAAAACTTCTTCTATACAGTTTCTCTTGGTTGAATTTGGATAATAATTAATGCTAGCGAGAAGAGCCTCATTAAATCTCTCGCGGGCCGCAGCCGCGGTTTGCCCACAGTTGCTGTATTCCATGCCAAGATCGAAATCCAAGTTTTTTTGTCTTAAAGACAATACATTGGTCTATCTCATGCCGAAATTTACTGGTGATTGGACAAAATTAAAATAAGTGCAAAAGGTTTAAAATACAAAATTTCCTAGAGTTTTAATACAGTTGCGTACAGTGAAAGCAGGGCTTCCCACGTGGTTCAGATGGACCCCCACAGTCCCACATTGCGATTACAGGGGGGTCCACAGATAAAGGGAATTATATAAAATGAATACATTTTATTAAAGTTGTTGCTCTTTTTATATGTTGTTGGATAAACGAAAGAGCACTTGAACGATAATGCAGAAATGAAGCTCCATATTAGTGACTTTATAGGATATTGGGTAATTTCGCTGCTTTTGGTTAAGTTACGTGTTTAGACTTAAAGTCATACTAATCTTAAAATTAGAAGCAATCTCTCAGTCATAAAATACGTAACAATTAGACGTCCTGTAAGGTACGATAACGATAACGCGTCATGCCCTAAGGATACCAAAACCAGCATAAAAGCGACCAATCGTTAGGAGAGAAAAAAAAAAGGATAACGATGGACAAGTAATTAACGAACTCGGGCTTGCAGTGAAACTTTGATTTTATGTGACTTATCAGTCATGACTTGGAACTGTTCTTTGTATTTGTAAATATACAATTGCAATATATGTATTCGGTACCAGGAGTATGTCTTCTTCATAAGATCAGATCAGAAACAACAGCAATACAGAAATACTAGCAAAAAGATAAATGTTCCCTAAAAATGGTATCCCCGACAGACGAACCAGCGCCTTTCTGAGATGGAGTCTGAAAAGCAACCGTTAGAACTAAAGGTGACCCCAAAGACATCAACTCCACAAGCAAGCCGAGGATAAAAAGATCAAGGAAAATGAAAAACAACAACCAAACCAAAATTCAGACAGTATGAAAAATCAAGGAATTACAAGCGAAATACCAAAGACTCTGACAAAAAGAAAAAGACTGTTAGATTTAAAATGTGTATGAGATTCACATTATATGAACTATGGACTGTTATAAAAATATGTGTGTAAAACATTCGTACTATATGAACTGCTTTACACCAGAAAAAAACCGTAAAATCAAAAACTAGTCGGAACTCTTGACTACAAAAACAAATGAGAAAGATATGAAACGAAAGAACTTCAGAAAGAAACGCCCGCGAACCAACTTCAAGAAACCGCGCGATTGTAGCATTTTATATTGTACTATAAATATTTCAATTTCGTTTACAAAATGGACAGACATTCTTCTTCTTCACAGGTATTTCACGTTTCCTTCTTTCTAATCTTTAAGGCGTTCTATTTTTGGTATTAAACCCAACGAGGTTACCCAAAAATATCTAATATATTCGATTTTGGCAGATATTAGCATTCGTTTTTTTAAGATATACTTTAAGTTGACTTTTAACATTTTTTTCAAAATATGATTACAAATACGATCGTATTTCGAATCAGCGTTTCGGGATGCATTTGCATAAACGCAAGTGAAATTCTCATCATTTTTTATTTTTAAACGCCCAAAGAGGCTCATCACAATTATAGCCGGAAAGGCTCATCAACGCAACACGCGTATTTTTTTATTTTTTTCAGCGCTTCAAAATTTATTAATGTGAAACGAAGTGTATTAAAGCTAAGCATTGGTAGTAATCTGTCACCTAAATTATAAAATAAACCAACGCCAAATCTTTTTCTTTCCATACACTGTATAACACACACATTCTGTCTCATAATCATAATTTCAACTTTCTTATGTTTTTATGAATTTTGTTGCATTTTGTGTATATATTTTCACTGCACGCCCAAGCTTGGCCACTGCTCCGCAGCTAAAGTAGGTGCATAGTATAGGATATTGGGTAATTTCGCTGCTTTTGGTTAAGTTACGTGTTTAGACTTAAAGTCATACTAATCTTAAAATTAGAAGCAATCTCTCAGTCATAAAATACGTAACAATTAGACGTCCTGTAAGGTACGATGACGATAACGCGTCATGCCCTAAGGATACCAAAACCAGCATAAAAGCGACCAATCGTTAGGAGAGAAAAAAAAAGGATAACGATGGACAAGTAATTAACGAACTCGGGCTTGCAGTGAAACTTTGATTTTATGTGACTTATCAGTCATGACTTGGAACTGTTCTTTGTATTTGTAAATATACAATTGCAATATATGTATTCGGTACCAGGAGTATGTCTTCTTCATAAGATCAGATCAGAAACAACAGCAATACAGAAATAATAGCAAAAATACAAATGTTCCCTAAAACTTGACCCCACGGATCTTGATGCTTGTGAATATCGAGCGGCCACAAGGTTTTCACTGATTATTCTGATAGTCTTGTTACCAATCAATTTTGTTATAGAATTTAAACTTAAATTCATTTGAAAAAAAAAAGTTTGTTCTGGGTACCTTTACTTAAAAAACAGCGGGCAATACGGTGACAAAACCGTCCCAATCTATGCGAGTTGTATTTAGGGTTATTAATTGAGAATGGAAATAATTGAACGAACATATCATAGATACACTAGTTGAAGTGCTTTGATCATAGATTTTTTTAAATTAAAATCAAAATGAATATGCAAACTTAGTACCAGTGCCAAACTCAACAAGCAAGTTCCAGGCAGTCCAAAGTTTAATGTGGTAAAAATACTCTGTAGACTAAAACTGAAAAGTTCTTCTAATACAGCAAGTGATTTAACTTGGATTTATCCAATAAACACTTGGAGGTCCACACGACTTCGAAATAAATATTAGAGGTTCATAGTGAAAAAAGTTAGCAACCCCTGGTGCAACGACTAACATACCGCGCTGATGTAATGAATTTGATACAGTAAAGCACCACCGCGTGGATACTATATTCGGTTTGTTGTTGTTAACGTTTGCCACTTTATCAACCAATCAGCATTCGGCATTCTTCGACCCCAGTTTCAATCGTGCGGTGTTCGGTGGACTCGCTGCTCGTCGTTTAGTTTTCCTGGTGCAGTGGGTAGGATACCAGTGTGATAGTGATACCAGTGCCCGTATTTTTAATCTAACCCAACTTCAGTAATCAGTTGGTCGCACTCGACTACAAAGAGGTCTGGTGTGTTTTCGTCTTTTTGCATTTTCTACGTCGACGTTTTAAGACTATAGGGGCGTAATAATCAGCTTGGCAATATATTTTCAATAGACAGATAGAAGTTTTTCTTTACTATTCACTCCCGATTAGAAAATCGATCAATTTGGCAGTGGCAACCATTACAAAATTATTAATATGGAGTGGCAAATGATTTTTTATTTTTTTTGTTTACTATGTAATTTACCAAAAGTGGGTCTGGTATAGTTTAGTACCACATGTACTTCTAGTTGACCTGGCTCAACAATTTTTGCATATGTCAATCCTAACCCCCACCTGACTACGTCACCGAAAAATTACGTCATTTCAGCGTCACAGTGGCGTAATAAGGCCCACCAAAGTATGCGGATGGTCGTCCAAAATGCGCAGACGATCGCCAGAAATCGAGCAGGCAATTTCTCTCGTTTTCTCGTCACAATGATCACGATAGGAGAGAGATCGCCGGCTTTAGCAAGTTCGATATCAGCGGCGCAGATGTCATTTCGGGCGATCGTAATTATACTTTGGCAATCCCTATGACGTGATGGTGACGTTGTAGTGACGTAACTTTTGGATGGCATAGTCAGGTGGGCGTTAGGAATACCGGTAACATATGTAAAATTCGTTAAGCTACGCCCACTGAAAGTACTTGTGGTACTAAACTATACTAGACCCCCAAAAGTTTATGCGTTTTTTTACTCAGTAATTTCTCTGTGGTCAAGTGGTTGCGTGTGCATGTGTGAAATAATTTTAGGTGAGTGAACACGTACCACTTCTTTTTGGCAAAACCTTCCATCTTACAGTCCCATTTTCTGTACGTTATCCAATGTTTTGATTGCTCTCCTGATTTCATAATCCTGTAATCAGTTTTTATTTATATGTTTTTATCAATCATTTTATTGCCACTTACAGACTTATGCTGATTATGGAATCGAAATAAACTTATTCTTATAACAATGTTTATAGGTAGTGGTATGGCAGTATGGTGTGATACCGAATCATTTTTAATGCGATTAGGTCATAAGTAGATATTGAATAAAGGGATTTCGTTACTGATGGAAGTTAGAAGCTAAACAAATCCACTACTTTTACCGTCTTGCATTGTAGTGCTCAAGTCATCGGGAAAGCTGTCTTCCACAAAAACAAATATTTCTGTGTCCTCTTGGAGTTGTTTTATTTTAGCTTTAAGATGCTTTCTCGAGAATATTAATGTTTTTTTTTCTATTGGAGCTTTAAAAAGATCGAAATCGTCGTAAAAAATGTGAATTTTAGTCAAGTTTCCAGCCTCCAGCCAGCCAGCCCACCCTTTCCAACTACATATATGTACATCCAAATATTTTAGCATTGCGTAGTTTGAATTAAGTCAGAATTAAGTCAGAACTTGTTACATTGAAAAAAATTTTCTATTACAGCGTTGTATGAAGGTTCAGTTTTTGACAATAAGTTTGTTGGCTTCAATTTGTCAATGGAATGGCTGCTTCACCAATCCATGTTCATGTGCAAGATAACACCCCAGTTCATGTTCATGTTAAGAAACCAAAGTCTGCCGTCATCAACCGACATCAGGTTTGATTTTTATGTATTCAGCTTTATCGTTGGGTATTTTGGTATATGGTGCGATGAACAATAAATTTCCTTACTGCATAGTATACATTGTAGCAACAGGCAACAAGTATGCATTAATAAAATGATCTTTTTTATGTCCAGCCTAGTTCTCAACAGACTCTTTTTGTATTAGTCATTTTCATGGGGCTTTTATCATAAATTCAAAGTGATACTTTATGATGCAACCCATTCTGGAGTCTGCAAATGTGTGACTATGCCAATTTTATGATTCTATTCTATGAGGAAATTACTCCAATCATTATATTATATGAATAAGACACTCCGGATTTAAAAAGAATCCATGCAGAGCATAGTTCACCATTTCAATGACATATATCTTCATTTGCATAGGCTGTTGCAGTGTTGTTATCCATATGGCTAGTTAGTTGGTTGAACAGTTTTAATGTTGCTTTGTATGACTGAATTATTCATAGTGAATGCTCACTGTTTTACTGAGAAGTCTTTACAGGGAAGGCAGCAAGGAAATTTGCTCAAATCAATGTATATTCATAGCTCATAGGAATATAATACGTAAAAAAGTATAATGTAGAAAATATGAAGTGGTGCCCAGATATTGTTGTTGTCCAGAGTTTTACTGTATCAAATATAACCAGTTTGGAAGGAATCCAAATATCAAACCGAACCTCTATAGAGTTGTATTGTTCTTGGGAGCCCATTTTTAAATTTTTTTTTTATGTTTGAAAAAGTCTGACAAGCTGATAGCAGACTTACCAAGCAGCTCACACAGACCGCAGAAACCAACTGCAAAAAGTCGAAGCAAAGCAATAAATGGACCATGGATTCCTGCACCTGGAAGAACATCCCTGAGAGACAAAACTAATCAAGGCTTCAAATGGGACGTATGTTCAATGCATACTATTTTTCAATCGTTCAAATGAAGATATGCTTATGCCTATATTCTGTGTGTGTAATTTGCTTTAATATTTGCTTCAACCATTTTGGCAGGATTTTTTGGGGCGCCAGCTCCATCAGGAATATTATATGTGTAAACCCAAGCTTTACTCAATGATTTATGTTGCAAATTTAATGTGTTGTAGAAAATTTCAGCTAGATTTTCCAGTTATAAACTAGTCTTCTTTAAAACATTTGTCACAATTACAAAATGTTTAATACCTTTTAAAAATGGACCAAGATTTTTGCTGAATAAGCAATTTTTATAGCTTCAGGTTCACATATTTTATTGTAAATATTTTAGAATGGGAGAAGTCAACTGGAAGTAAATCTGCCATCAAGTAGAGAGGCACAGGATGCAAATTCGGCACTGAAAGTTGGAGATTTGTCACTTCATGACGAAGATGATGTACGGAGCCATATTATGAACTATGAAAAAAAAATTGAAGATCTAATGAAAGAAGTTGGAACTTTGAGAAATGAAGTTAGTTTTATTGTATTTGTTGTTAAACATGTTTATGTGTATTTGGTGACTGGTAACATTATAAACAAATGTGTTTATCAAAATAAGCATATTTTACTATCAAATTTTACATTTCAATTGAGTTTCCGCAGATGCAAATATGGTTGCAAATGTTTGTGGGTGATTCATATGGGCATTATGCTGTTGCTGTCACTATCAGTAGCATAAGCAATTTTCAAAATATCAATATGAAATGTGGGAGATCTCTAATATCAATATTTGGAATGCAGTAAAAATAGTAAATATTAGTTTTATGAGTCCTAAATGGATTGGAGTACATAAATATATCCTGGAAGAACGATCAAAAACATTTTTGTTATCTTGGCTTTAATTTTTAATAACATTTACTTGTAATGGTATGAATCACATCGTCGCCATGTTCAAACTGAACAAAATTCAACATATTAAAAAAAATATTGGTATTGAAATTTTACTGATATCATCTTTTTGTAAGAAAAATCAGCATTATGTAATTATGAGTTAAGAACTTATTAGGAAACATCTAAGCCAACACTATGTTTTTTAGTAAGCTTTAAACAGTGGTTCTCAAACTTTTTAAGCCGCGCCCCTTTTTTAGAATTTGCCAAGTCTCGCGCCCCACCTTTAAAATAAATAGCTAGCAAGCTCAAAATAACAGATAATACGGCGCAAGTATTTATTTATTCAAAAAACACGTTGAAATAATGTGGATGAAACATAAATATTGCAAAGTTTTGAATTGGAAATATCCAAAATAAGGCGTGCAAGATCAAATCTACAACTAATATTTTAATTAGCTTCACGCCCCTCAAAAATTGTCTACGCCCCCCACTGATTGAGAACCACTGCTTTATAAAAATACATTCTTGCCGAAACTGATGGTTTGAGCAAAACTATCTTGTGAAAGACACCCATCCAACTTTTGTAAATGGTTATCTAGCTCAGTGGTTCTCAACCTCTTTTTTAAGCACCCAAATTAAAAATAAAATTGATTTTGTAAAATATTGCGAGTTCCTGACCCAAGGATATGTCCAAATACTAATTGTGTAGTACTTTCATTATGACCAAAAGTTAATGAATAATATAAAGCAATCCATTTTATATAACATTTATTTCCCTTTTCCCCAGAAATTACTTAAAAGGAGAAAACTGCACGTGTTTGCCCTCATCGAGTTTTTTAAAACGACTTGTGGCTTCACCTAAGCAAAATAATTGCTGCCTAGTTTTTATGCAGTGATATTCCAAACACATGCAGTGACTGTTGAGCAACATCAATACTAAATATAAAGTAAACAATAAAATTTATTATAAAATAGAAATAGTAACATTTAGGTTTTTTTTGAAAAAAGCAAGTGACCCAAAAAAGTATTCAGGCGACCCAGTTTTGGGTCCCGACCCATAAGTTGAGAAACACTGATCTAGCTAATTCAAGGATTGTAATGAAGCTATGATTTGCTTATACATTTTCAACAGTTATAAAAGAAACCGTTTACCACATTTATATAGTCTATGATGCACTAGTATAATAATAATTGTATATAATAGTGAGAGGGAGACAATTGATTTTATTGCTTTAGACAATATCTCTTTTACATAACCAAGAAGATCTCTGTAGAGGTCAAAGTTATGGTGCAGTAAAGAAAAGTAGGGAAGTTAGTGGTGGAAGTAATAAAGAAATGAAGGTTATATTACCCAATGAGCGTAGTTCATTTCTGAAGGCAGAGGAAAGACCATCTGATTTAGCAGGGAATAAGAAGCTGCATAGCAGTGAGCAGAAAGATAATCTTCCTGTTGAGAAAGTCACAAGTGGGTATGAAAACGGACATTTATTTTGAAAATATCCAATTTCTGAGCCCAAAATAATTTGAGTAAAAATTGAATAAGCGACAGAATATATTGTTCAGTGATGATGGCGAGCTTTTCTTTATATATTTAATTATTTTATACTATATTTAGTGATGAAATTTTCTAGGATTTTTTCTTTAATCAAATTTCGAGTTGGATGTTCTGAGAACTCCCGAGATCAATAAATTGGTTATAACTAAAGGGAGTTAAACTACTGCTTGTTTTGTCTTCACCTCGATAGAGCAAAAAATAAAACTAGTTTCACTGTGCCATAAATATACCCTCCCATCCCCAGGTGTGGGGTAAATTTCGGATTTAATTGCGGTATATTTTTGGTTATAAATATGAGTTTTAATTGATTCTTTCTTCTTATACTAACCTTAATTCAGTGGACAGTATGACTCATTAGTTAAAGCACAGAACTATGTGGGTGTTGCACAATGAAATTCCATGCCCACTCTCGCCTCACCTAGAGTGTAATACCGTAAATAGGTTAGACAATGCAGAAACGGAAAAACGCCTCATAAAAAGTGCTTGAAATTTATCTAAATGCTCATAAAACCCTTATGACTTGATTTTTTATTCGGCATTGCAGCTAAATTTTATTACAGACCAAGAAATTATCATGGAAGATGCTTCACACCATGTGTGCCAATAAATAATGTTGAAAGGAGAGTAAACAAGGCTTTATCACGTTTAGTTAGAGATTGTAATAGAAAGGAATTGAATGATGATGATAGATTAGAGAAACTTGCTGATACAATTGAATCACCCATGTTTAATTATGACCTTATTGAGACAAAGTCTTCTCTGGAGAATGTTTTATATTTTGATAAGTATGTAAAATTATTCAAAATATATGTTGTTATTTTCTATTTCACTATAAATAAAAATAGAACAGGATTTAAGTATTTTAGAACAGAGAATTTTTCTGAATTAGACATCCCTGACTTATGTTAAGCCTTTCTAACATTTGATAAGAAGGTAAATTATTATCTGATATTTAACTGTTATCTATGACACGTCTAATTGTATATTAATAATTCAACAGAAAAATAGGTACTACACCGAACCACATTAACCTGAAGCTTTATGTTGAATGCTCCCTGTATTGTTCCGAGATATGTTTGTGTATATACAGTATTACATATAGGTGTTGTGATAGTTGATCTGATACAACTGATTTCAAAGTTTTGTTTTCTTTAGTTCATACAGGAGACAGTTTGATAAAGAAGAGGAGATATTAGCATTAGATTCAGACATGAACTCAAATTCTTTAAAAAAGGTGTTATGTTATTCAACTTATTAATTTTGAATTTCACTCCTCCTGCCATGTTCACTTTTATAAATCGCCCAAAACAATGGAATTTCACACTACCTACCACTCCTTTCACGGATTAGTTATTCAAACGGAGTACTTAGTTACATTCAATAATCGAATTTTTGACAATGACAACGTTTTTGAAACAACTTATTAAAAAAGTATTAGAAATTCCCTCAAATATCTCGAATCCAAAGCCAGAAAGGCACAATACAAAAGTACTTTTGTAAAACAGAAATGGAGACAAAATATAGAATTATGCCCTTCAACTTTCTTGTCACATGTTTTATAATAAACAATTCACTTATCACAATATCTGAATCAAGAAGACTATTTTAAAATGCAATTAAAAGAGAGTACAATCTGTCAGTGCTATCGCGTAAATATTCTATACCATGTCTATTGACTACCACTAGGGAATGGAAAAAATTGCAATATATTATCGGATAAAATTGTATTATTATTACTAGGGCTGTCCAAAATCGAATAATTTTTTGATTCGAATCGAATATTTTCGCCGAATCGAACCGAATAATCGAATATTATTGCGCAATATTAAATCTATCTCTATTATACAATAAACGCCTGCCCTTCGATGTTGTGGTATGGTATGTGCAGTTACATCTTACTTACTGCTGGTATTTTGCAATACAATGTTTTCAGATTTATGAAAGGAGCTCACATGCTTGTATGAACTGGTCAAAAAATTGAAGGACTCCAAAATTTGGGTCTCAAAAACTGTTGAGTGTTAAGAGTAAAAATTGCACTATTCAAAAATTGCAATCTCAATTTTGATGGATTCAGTTTTAATAGGACATGTTAAGCCTGTAGATGCTATTTTAATTCTATTCACTAGTCTTATGTTTTTTTGTGTAAATTTCAGCAAAATAATAACAGCCATCAATATAGATAAAATAAAACTGTTGCTAAAGTTCAAAATTGCATTTAAAATTTCCAAGCTAGTTTGATGACAATATTATTTGACGACTATAATATTGTTAGTGTACAACAGCCATCAAAATGCAAGAGTGCAATTATTTGTCTTGGTATATAGATGGATAATACAGTAATGCCATCATAAGAAATTACAAATTCCATTCAAAGAAGGTATTGCCATCATAAGGATCCCAAAACACCTGTTTCAGCTTTGAGTTGCCTGTACCATGTTCCTATGATAACTAACTCAACAGCTTCAAATCGATTCTATTTATAGAACTATCGTTTTCTAAATTGTCTCCTTTTTCTCCTTGTTCTCTCTCAAAAACGTCATGACCAATTATACCTTGTTATGATGACCATGTATGAAATGGCTAATCACGTGCCACCGGGCGGGCATTAGTAATGACATGTTTATCACAAAATGAAGGCGAGAGAATAATCGGGAAACCAATTAAGCCGGGAGCGAGAGTGGTCTGAGCTCGGAGCGCCGCCGCTTGCCCGATGAAAAACATCCCGTAAAGGTGGTTTCCGCTTTATGTACATGTACCTAATTTTAGCGATTCGAAAATTAGCCGAAAAACGATTCGAATAATTTGCGATTCGATTCGATTTCGAATATTTGGTTCGCTTGGACAGCCCTAATTATTACAAAGCTATTCTTTTTCTTTATTGTCTAATTGCCAGGTGAGATTTAATAAAGAACTGTCAGAAAGTACACCAGGGATTACAAGTACTACTAAAAAGGCTGGAAATAATATAAAGCAAACGCAGCTACAAAGTACACAGGTTCCAGTCATACGAGTTGCTATAAGACCAGCGAAAGTATTCAGTGATAGTTTGATATAAAATAGTGATAGTAAAACAAAAAAAACTCAGATGAACAAAATCAACTTCTGTATGTTTCTGCAAACCCTCTTTTATCAGACGTTATATAAACCTATATAAAATTGTGTTTACCTGCAGTATTACATTTTTTTAGATGCTAGCCAAAATGCTAAAAATTTAACTAATTTACATTTAAAAAAAATATTAGGTTTTATATTGTTTGTATAGGTTTTTAGGTTTGGTTTATTTTTATATGTTTCTTATTTGTTAGAGACTAGAGTGCTGCTTTATTTTGTCTCTCAGAATTAGACAGGAATTTTATTACCTGGATGATCTGAAATAGAAGCTCATATATTGTGCGAAAAGTTGTAATATTTCTGGTTCGGCATATATTGTACTTGTATGTCAGCTTGTTTTCAAGCTTCTGGTTTGTAATTGTTCGCCATTCATGAAACCAGATTTTGTACTGGGATATATTTTTTGTGTAATAAACATTTCATGTTGAATACTATTTCTTTATTGTAAGTTATGTCCCTTTAGTTATTTTGATTAAATATAGACTGTAATCATCAGTCGTGTGAAAAATTGTAAGATTTGGACTCATTTGATCACTACATAATACATTGATAAATCTTCTGAATTTGTTAGGTCGAGTTGAAGAAAATTGAACATGAGATTGAAGACAGAGATGAACAGCTTGAAGCATCAAGAGCAGTGAGAATCTTCTTTTCATTCCAAAAAAAATATTCTATTTTTAGAATAACATAAGATTTGAAAATATTGCTCGCCAAACTAATTTCCTCTTTTGATATACCTCCTAATGTTTTTTACATTTTATATTTGACCTTCTAGTACTGTTTGTTGCAATCCAAATTATTGACTTCATTGCTGATTCATTGTTTTTTACAAATTTGTTCTGTTGTGCATGAATATTCTCTCTCAATTAGGCATTGGAACGACAGCAAAAAGAGCTTGACTTGGTCCAGAAAGAATATCAAGAAACAGAAAAGGAAAATAACAGACTCCGAAAAAGTGTTGAAAGGATAAAAGATGATCTTGGAAGAAGTTTGTATGTTGGATATTAGTTCTATTATTTTTAGTTAGTACATAATTTTGTGTTCATCAATTCAATTATATTTACATAAATAGAGAATAATCAATAAAAAAGTCATCTCCTGACATTTTTTGTAAGACTTAACAATTTTTTTTCAAAGGGATATTTCAGAACTTGGTTCAAGTAAGGATGAACTTCTTAAGAAATTGATCGAAGTAGAATTGGATGGAGCGTCATGTGAAAAACAAATTGTTACTTTGAGGAATGTTGTCAAAAGATTATGTCATGTAAGGACTTCCTCCAAAAATTATCATAGAATTAAGTAAAATAACGCAGTGTTTTTCAATCGGGGTGCCGCGGCACACCGGTGTGCCATAACATATTGTCAGGGGTGCCGTGGGAAATTCTCTAATTATTGTGTCTATGCGGTGTAGTGCCCGGCACAGTAATCATGTAGTACTGTTCCATATCAGAAGGTGGCGAAAAATGGTCACGTATGGATGAGGCGGCAGATAGCTGTAGCCTGTAACGATCAATCTTTTCACAATTAAATGTTCACAATATCATGGTTCATTTACCACCAATTGTGACATCATTCATATGTCAGGTGATACGAGCCCGCCTTCGACCGACTCACTTAAGGTCATTCTCGTTCTTCCTGACTGCGCTTTGCATTTGTGAAGGAGAAGTTTTTGAAAAGAAAAAATGCTGACACTGTAGTGGACCTTGAAAAATTCCGGGCCCAAATGAGAGCCCTAGTATGAGTGGAGGTGAAAAGAAAGCAAAGACAAGGCTATACAACGAAAACTATATCTTTCATCAATTCCTGCCAGGATATCTGCTCTGTTTCTAACTGAGTGAGAATAAATATGACCGATTGTGTAATACTTAGATTACTATTCAAGATCTCCAATTCAACATCTTTCTTCAATGCTAAAAAGCCTATATTAACAATATAACACTTGTATTGTAAATATTAGGTCTTTTTCTCACATTTTCAGCTCATGGTGTGTCGCGTGATTTTCTCAATGAAAAAAGAGTGTCTTGACTTGAAAAAGGTTGAAAAACACTGAAATACCGATTAAAAAAAGTGTATAATACAGTTCAATTCATGTCTCCAGACAGCAATGACTAATGGTTGTGCCTGGAATGCATTCGACTATTTTTGATATCTTCTTGTGACCCGATGAAACATGCTTTTAACAGCACTTTTTTCCTTGTCAGTGTTCAAAGCTTTAACCACTGAGTCTGCAACTCAAATTTTTGACTGAAAATAAGGGATAGAGTATTAAGACTGAAAGGCGTTGTTATAAGAATGTATGCCCATATAGATTTTATAGATGTCTCTGGACAGAATCATTAGTTTGTAGGACGTTCAAGTTGAGAGGTATTTTTGAAAGCATCGCACGTTAGGAAATATTTGCGTTAAAAATGAAAAATTTAATAACAAGATCATAATCGTGTAAGTTATCAAAATTGCAAAATCAATATTCTATGAAAAGATATGTTAACGTGGGCTGGGTATACCGAACGCCTAGCACCTAGCAGACGTGAGGAGTACATCTTTTGGTGCAAAAATGTGTGTTTTTTACCATTCCTACTTACACTCTCGGTAGATTTGATCGGATAGAAAACAGATTGGATCACAATCACACATCTCGAATTTAGATGTATCAGTAATATTGATAATATTTATTTTAGGATAATCGCATTTCTCCATCGAACTTAGCTGTGTTAAATAAAGAAAGAGATTTGCTTGTCCAAAAACTGGAGGAGTTTGAAGCATCAAATACTGCATTACGGAGCCTTCTACAAACTCACCATGAGGTTTGATTTTGGTCTAAATTTGTTTATTACAACAAACTATTCTTCTCTCTTCCCTGCCTTTGTGTCGGTGGATAGAATCGTTTAGCAACCTTAAGTTGATTTGCACTTCTTTGCTTGGTTGAAAAGTTCTGCAATATTTTTTCCTTTTGGTTGGGAATAGCAGAAAATGTATAGTTTTAGAAACACAAACGCCAAGGTATGAAAACTTCCCAAACAATGAAAAGAACATACATGCTTAAACAATCATGAAGATTTCGTTAGTATATGTCCAATTTTGATATTGGCTCCCTAATAGTATTTTTTTAACTGTTTTTTGTACATGTTGGCAAAACCCTTTACTAAGGCCTTTATGGACTTGAAATGATTTTAGATATATGCTAAGATTCGGATCCAGACTCAGATTTAAGTCCAAGCCTTAATCTATTTCGTTGTATTTTTGTAGTTTACTAACCTTTTTAAAATGTAATTCTATTCATACTCTGTACTAACAATGACTTGTCGTTGTGCACATATACCGTAATTGGGAAATATAGATAGGTTTTCTATTTTGTCTTATATTCCTAGGTCACAGCTGGTGTGAAGCGATCTGAAGAATAGAAATACCATGATTAGAAAAGTTGCTGAAGCTGACTCCACTGCTTTGAGATTCAAATCTGAATTAGCTTATTTGAAAAATGAACTGGATCAGGTTTTGTCTCAGGTAAATTGACAAGATCATTGTTCAACACTGATTCTATTATATATATTGGTGGTTTTCAACTGGGATTCTGTGGAATTCGCTCCTCTGGAATGTTTCATAGAGGTTTGCACTCCAATGAGAGGTAGAAACTACTGATCTATAAGATGGAATGAAGTTAACTACTTCATTTTCATTTATGGAATGAAATTTTTATCCTTCCTATAGACTGAGAGTGTGTGATTTCTATTATGACATTTGCAAATGCCTTTAATAAAAATAAGAACATCTGTTTCAACTATAAACAGTATAAATAAACAATATCTTTGCAGTGCCAGTGTCTGCTAATTTATCAAAACAGTGTTATGTTCAAATATGACTGGTTTACTGAGCTAACCCTCCTTTAATGTGTTCATGTAACTTGCGTCTCTCTCTGTGTGGTTACCTATTCATATACAATAAATACCAAATGTGTACCAAGACTTTTATAAATAGAAGATACCTTCTGGGTATTATGATTTGACAGTCCTGTTTGTTCATTTTTGTTCAAAATCAGCGACGCAATGTTGCTGAAAGACCCGCAAATAAATTTCAGGCTTTTATTTTAGATGTATTTTACTGTCATGTTTCTAATTTGTTATTACTAGTTAAGTGAAGAAAAAAATCACAGTAGGACTCTAACAGAGTTGAACAAATCAATAGATGCAACAAGAGCTCACTTGCAAAGAGAACTTCGTGCAAAGGAAATGGAAAACAATAGACTCCAAGTGCAGTTGAGGGTAGGTGGTATGATTTCTGTATATGCTGTAACGTAATTACGATAGTGTGCTTTCCATATCATGCCCTGATGAAATTTTCCTGAATAGAAATTCGAAACGTCGGCACGTTGCATCGTTTTGCTATACACCGGTTGTGCTTTATTTACCATTGACTCCAATAAATATATGTAATAAAATAGCCAATGCTTTTTGCTATCTTTAATACAATGCATATTATGTGCTTTTCAAGAACATGGAAAGGGACACCACTATTGCACAAAAAGAAAGCAGAAGATATAACAGCAGCTGCAAGATTTTCACAAGAGACAATAGCTGCAGAAAAAGAAGCTCTAAAGAAAGCGACTCGTGCTCAAAGACAGAGGGCTGATCAGGCTGATCAAATTCTCAGAGAGACAGAAACAAGGATGGCAGAAAAACAAAATCAACTTTCCAAAGCTCATGAGGAATGTGAAACATGGAAATCTAGGTGTGTAATTATAATAAAATTTCGATACCAAGGAATTACATAAACTTGCTTTCGAAATTTCAACATCAATGTACAACTCGCGGTACTCCCGTAGTATGTGTACCAGGTTAGGATTAGGCCATAATTTTATTCTGATTTTCCTTATTTTAGTTCTATTACGAGTTCGGGGACTGTCTGCGTTAGCCAAGTGAATATTCCCCTACCCATAGGTTTCAGTCCCTTCACACAACTCGATGTAGAATAGGCGAACAAAATTAGTTATCTCCATATTGGTACACATACTTCTGGAGGGCCCAATTATGGTATTGAGGATTACAAAAACTGGCTTTGTAGTTTCAACACCAATGCAAACTCAAATTTTTCACTTGTCTTATCTGTCTTTACATCTAGGTATCATCGTGCAATGGATGATAGAGCCCGATCTGATAACCAAGTCAAATCATTGACTGAAAAGTTGGATGAATCTGAAGCAATGTTAAGAAGAAATGAAAACAAATCAAGGGATAGAGATGCAGAATTGACAGAAAAACTACATAAGTATGATGGTTTGTATTTACAAGCTGATTTTTATTTCATTTATATTTTCTGAAATATGAAAAAAATAGTCACAGCATTCACCGGTAAGTATTATAGATCTTTCACCCGAACTACTATATTTGTAAGGACCGGGATTGCATTCCCCAAATACTCAAAATTTTGCCATGACATGTACCTAAACAACAATAATTATCTAATTGTCCATATTGTATGGTATTATTGTAGTGTGTGTACCAGGCTAGGGTTAGGGCATAATTTTATTCCGACTTCCCTTATTTTAGTTCTATTACAAGTTCGGAGACTGTCTGTGTTAGCCAAGTGACCATACCCCCCATCCATAGATTTCAATCCCTTTACACAACTTGATGTAAAGTAGGCGGACAAAATTAGTTACCTCCATATTGGTACACACACTTCCGAAGCGCCCATTGTACATATTAAAGAATAAACATAAATAATAAAGATGAAAATCAGGTATCACTGTATTTGATTCAGTTGATCTGAACAATGATGTTAATTTTTTTAATTTTAGATTATCATCTGACAATGGTTCGAATCAACTGGAATGTGAACGACTAAAAGCAGAGTTGAGAACAACTGGAGAAAAGTTGAAGTTGGCATTGGAAGATGCTGCAGGACAACGTAACCAAGTTCAACAATATGAAACATTAAACTCAGAATTGCGAGCAGGATTGGCTAAAAGTAAAAATGAAGCTGAAGAGGTGAAGTATTTTATCCGGTATAAGTTTTGTTAAATTGCAAGTATTTTTAGACAGCATTGGATAGCTTTAAATAATTCAGTTACATAACTTTACACAAGACTTGCGTTGCCAGACAGACTGCCAGGCAATGTGTCTTTGTATACGAAATAATCATTTTGAAAGAAAGCCTTAATTTGAAAATTTATCATACAATGTGCAACATTTTTAACGTTCAACATGTTATACTGAAAGAACAAATTGTAAGTAAAATCGATTTGTAGGGTGGCGTCTAACCAATGGTGTTTGGTTAAACACTATTTCAGCAGATATTTGGGTACTCCCGTAGTATGTGTACCTGGTTAGGGTTAGGGGCTTAGGGCATATTTTTATTTGGATTTTCCTTATTTCAGTTCTATTAGTTAGGGGGGGGGGGGGACTGTCTGTGTTAGCCAAGTGAATATGCCCCCTGCCCATAGGTTTCAGTCCCTTTACACAACTTGATGTAAAGTAGGCGAACAAAATTAGTTATCTCCATATTGGTACACATACTTCTGAAGCGCTGATATTTGTACATATCCTCGTCAACTTTACAGCTATATGGGAACCATATATGATGAATTTACTCAACCAGCATTTATTTGTAAATATCAGTCTTAACGAAAGGATCGATGGACAAGGCATTATTTATTCTATATTCAAAAATAGTCAGTTAGTAGAAGTGTCAGTTTTGGATGAAGGCTATTAAAATCAGTGTACCTGTCCTGTTTATGGTTATGAAATTTTTTTCACTGATTGTTAATTTTTCTAACTTCAGGCATTACTGAGTGCTGAGCGAGCAGAACGAGAGGCAAGACGTATGAGAGAGCAAGGTTCTGATGAAATTGAACGAGTTCGAAAGCAAATGCTGCAAAGAATGAAAGATCTTCAACCTTTGCCAGAGTTACTAAAGGTATATAAGATGATTTGTGATGAACAATGGATGCGCAAAACCTCACAATATCATTTTTAAGCATTTGAGTGCATATATCATTGGCATTAAAATTATAATTGCAATGTAAGTGAAACTATTACAACTATGAGGTCGTAATGTATGCAATTTAGCCGGTCTTTGGGATTTTGCTCAATTATGTGCAAGCCGACCTAGGATTGCAAATTACAAAACAAAATCTGTAAATACAAAGGAAATAGACAAAGAAATGCTTTTGATCGATGTGTCGCTACCACGATTTGTCATGCAACTGCTTAATGTTATCTGAATTATTATTTTTTTGTAAATGAAATCAAGCTGATTTTTCTGAAATTGCTTCGAATTGATGATTCAAAATTATGAGACTTACCTCCCTAGATATCATCATTTAGCACTTTTTATTGCTGCTTTTGAGATGAAAATTTTTACTTATTCTGACTTATGTTTTGTTTATGTCGTAAAAAACGATTGATGTTAAGTTTAAGATTAGTAATAACAAGATTTATCTCATTAGTACTACAGATTGACATGTGGTGAAATACCCATTAGATGAGCATGAACAAAGGGCCCAGGTCCCAAAAGCGAATGTAGTGAATAGTGGAAAATGTGAATCCTTTTATTATTTAAGGAGACTGAAATGAAACTACAGGATGCTCAAGATCAAATTCATACATTTGAAAAAGATCTGCAGAACAAACTCGAATCATCTCTGAATTGACAAGCAAGGTTTGATTGTTTAAAAACTGAATTTCCAAATTTTTTTTTTATTCTTACACCTTCGCTTTCGCTCCTATTGGAAGTATTTCCACTGAGTACAATGACCCCACGTAGTACGAACATAATGTCATTCCATAGAACAGGGGTTCTTAAACTTTTTTGAGCGCGACCCCAATCTGAGTTTTATGAATACTCGCGACCCAATCCTTAACATCGCAAAATGTTTTTTTAATGTCAGTACTCTCTGACTCAAATATAGACCACTGACCTAGTGTGATTGGTGTTGGTGAAACTGAAATATCCCCTTCATTTTATATTATATATATCGGCTCTATTTTACTGGGAGATGCGCAAGTCGTCACTAAAATCCAGGCCATTGCGAGCCTTAGTTTTAATAACCGTCAGTGCGGAAATTCCTTGCTCACACAGACACATGGTCGCGAATGGTAGCAGAAAAGTCATTGGTTCGTTTCCAATTACCTATACCGCCGTCCGTTGCAAACATGACATCCTAGCTAGGCCTTCGCAACACTCGCAATATACCACTGTTTACTCATCACATTGTTTTGGTTATTTTGCTTCAATAAGATGACATTCCGCACGGTCATAACAACGACAAGCGACGTGCATGGTTACGACACAAAAGTATAACACAAAACACGTTACTGGTCTATACATACATATAAACTGTAACGCAACAATGCGCTCAAGATAGTTCTTTTCGTAATTAACAATTTATATTTCATTGTTTTTGAATACCAAAATAAGAAGGTGAATTGATACAATGAACCAGCTCAAAGGTTCGGCCACTCCTCAAGATTTCTCTAGCATTGACACCCTTGGCGCGACCCATTTTTTTTACCCATTTTCATACTTTAAGAATCACTGCCATAGAATATATGAACAGTGAGCTCTGCAATTTTAATTGTGTATTGGTATGTGATCATTACAATTTTGATTTTAAATATTTTTTTACTCAATTACTTGTATTGATAACTATTGTGTTACCTAACTTAACTTTCACTCTCGATGTAGACTAGTTTGAATAGCTTGCGTCATATTCTCTTAGGTGTTGGGAAAGATATGTTCTGGTATTCCATTTACTTATGAAGGTGAATATTTGCTGATGTTCAATTCACAATTTACAGGATGAAATGCAGTCAGATGATGTAGACTCTCTCAGACAAAATATTGCTACTCTGAAAGATGAAAATAGAGCGTTAATGGCTCGATTAGATATAGTCAATACTAATTTGAATGACAGAGATAACGTGTTACGAGAAAGTGCCATCGATAGAGCAGATAAGGATGAGAATATACAAACTCTTCAGGTAATATTTATAATTTATCTTGCATTTAAAATATTGTGTCATTTTGAGTAACTGGTGAAAATTGGCTTGGTTTTCTATTTAGTCTTGTGATAATCAAGCATCTTTGAAAATGTTCATGTTAATTAGAAAACAGTGAAAAAATCTTGTTTCCTTAACCCTTTTTTTCCGCTGTATACAATCGACTTTATGTACCATTTTATAATATGTAATGACCAGTTAACCAAACGTACAAGGAACACCCCCAATATCTCTTTAAAAAGCTTACTTTCGCGTCTTCCTACTAAAACGCGCCCAAGTGACGTAGGCGAAACCGTTCGACCCTACGCGTGTAAGAAGAGAGAAATTTCAAAAAATTTTGAGAGAACGTTTCACACTCTTATCGCTTCGATGAAACACGTGTTACAAAGAAACGAAATTCCAAGCGCTCTTCTGAAAGAGAGTTACGTCACCTATTGAAGAAAATCCAGACTCAGCTTCGCAAGCGAAGCGAAAACGCGAAATAATCAATGATATGTGAGAGCATGTCCCACGATAGTTGTCTGGAATCTTTGTTTGTTTATTAATGTGCGCGAAATTGTTTCCCGCTCGTTCAAATGACTTATTTTTGAAGTAATGACAAATACTTTCGTGTATCTCTAAGCTTTGAAATACCTACACAAATAAAATTCACTTAGTAGTAAAATAAAAAATTTACAAAAAAACAAAATGTTGACAGATCAAGCACGGATCATAGTTGGATGCTCAAAATGATTTAGTTAGTGCGGAATACTTCACAAAACATGAACATAAACGTAAAATAGTCCGAAAATAACTATTATGACCAAGGATGGTAGTACGAATATATATGTTATACGGAACAAAAGAGTTAATCTTGATGCGGTACTCCTGTAGTATGTGTAACAAGTTAGGGTTATGCATCATTTTATTCTGATTTTTCTTAATATGGTTCTATTACAAGTTATCTGTAATAGGGGACTATCTGTGTTAGCCAAGTGAATATCTCCCCTTGCCCATAGGTTTCATTCCCTTTACACAACTTGATGTAAATTAGTGGCTTCCATATTGGTACACATACTTCTGGAGCAACCTTGATGCTGCTGACGATATTACTCAAAAATAGTTAGGCCGCTTCACAACTTTTCTTGAAAACCTATTTCAGTTGAAATTAGAAGAAAAGAATTATTTGTGCAGTTCTTTGCAACAACAACTTGATTCTGCACTTGAAGAAATTCGGAAAACAGCAAAAATGGAGAGAGACAAAGCTACAGCACGGGTAAGTCATCTATTGCTCTAAACTCTAAAACATTCTTCCTTTGTAAAACGTGACTGTTTGTACGCATGTTGTAATTTCAGGAAAAAGCATCAGAAGCCAGAATATGTGATCTGGAAACACAAATAACCTGTCTAAAAACAGATGTTGCCAGTGTAAAGAGGTCAAAACTTGATGTGAGCTCGTATATTTATTTTCTTAAATTATATTGAAAAACCAATGAAAAGGTACATGAAATTTGATTCACATAATTTACATGATATATGTCTTTAGCACTTCACTACGCTTCTGGTATTACAGTTCTATAAATTTTTGCAGACTGAAAGGAGATTACAGAGTCAAATTCAGGATGCCAGAGACCGACTGGAGCAATCTGAATCGACAAATAGGTCGATGAGAAATTATGTTAATTTTTTGAAAAGTTCCTACAGCACTGTATTTGGTGCAGATGCTGTTATGACATCTAGTCCTGCTAAAAGTGGGCCAGGAATGTCTTCTCCGAGATCACCTTACTGAAAAGCATATTTGTATTACCATACTTTTTGCATTAGACTCACTCAAGAATTTACACCCATGAACATTCATTTATAATTAGCATCACATGCAGTACTCATATTAGACAAGATCCCATAGTGTTATTAGCTGTATGTAAATTAAGTATAAACTGCAAATTTCAACAATATGTAATAGTAGATCTCAACCATATTTAGGTGTAACAGACAGCTTGGTTTAGTTGTAACAGTTGAAATGTAAAAGGAGATGCAAGTGTTTTGGTTATTATCTTCAAATCCATGAGATATGTTACACATTTATTTCAGTTGATTGGACTTTTATCGTATATTACAAATAGGGCTGTGTTTTATTAGCATTTGTCTCTACATGACTTGGCAAATTTTTCAAGGGCAAATACTACTAATAGGCGCCATGCAAAAAATTGTTATTATATAATTTCGTCCTTCTTTATTATGGTAGGGCACAAACTTTTCTCTGTCTTGCCTTTCACGAAAACAAATTTATGGCCTAATATGTCTGAACGATGTCTCTTTGTCATATAGTCTTACGTCAACCACAGATTTCAAATTCAGAAACCACTGCTCTGGAAATATTGCTTTGGTCAAGTTTTATTTATGCTTAACCTTGAGGCTATATATTGGTCTGAATTTGGCTGTGCCGGTTGTGGAGTGCAATATTTAATTGATCACATTTGTTGTTCACCTCAAATTGATGCATTGCATTGTCTTCTGTTTGGTTTGTATTATTACCCCATACTTATTTCTAGTTGGTAGTAACTATACTCGTTATTGAAATGGGTAATTATATTGTTGCAAGGTATTATAATGCAAAAGTGCGTCTCGATGTACACTAAGACTTGTTGTACACAATTGGTTTGTCTACATCGAGATGCACCCTATTCTTCAACCTCACACATGCTGCTGATTTTAGAAAGAAATTCCAAGTAGATTGCAGATATTTCAATTTTACTGTATCGTTGTTTATTTTATCACAATTTTATTGTAGTTTTGAACGTAAAGTACTAAAAATGTCCTACGTTTATATATTTTTAGAGCATAAATGCATGTCATTTTTTTGTGACTTGGGACTTATTCAAATAAGATGGGACGCCGATGAAAAGTCACCACACACTCGCGTTTAAACCACTTATAAAATAGATTAATTGTGTGTTGCTTCGAGTTGGTGAATTTGCGACGGTCTGTTATATTAAGGATTCTAAGTATGACTACTTACAAGTATTCGATTCCTATCCGATTCTCGATTCCTCAACATACCTTACCAAGAAAACATACCCACTTTAACAATACCATATGAAATCGAACAAGAGAACGATGTTCGAATATATATATGGATATAAAGACCAAACAATTTGCTTTTTTGATCGCGCCAGAGATGCTTACTTTCATCCAGGGTAAGAGAAAGTAGCTACACCCGTAACTATATATATATGACAAAAGCGAAAGTTCTATAGTAATACCATAGGATAACTTTCCTTTCCCATCTCAGTTTGTTGCAAAAAGTGAAGCAGTGAGCATGAAATAATAATTTATGGAATACAGAAGATTCAATCACTTTTCATCGCCCTCATTGAAACCCGAAAACAAAAATTTAGCAATAGTATCACCCAAAACGCTTTTCGTATTACGTCCGTATTATATGAAAAATCGCAATAGCTTGTGATTTTTATGTTTTCAAATCAAAATATAAATTTTAATGCTTTACTTTGCAGTCCTTTTCCCGAAAATGATTAAGATCGATGTTTGTTACATTGGAAGCATGTCATTGCTTTCATGCAAAACGATTTCGTCCTGTTCGTAGGTAGCATGATACGGGGAAACTTGGTCGAATGCAAAATTCTTGTGTTAGTATATCATTCACTTGCCTAAGCGTATATACAGCGTCGAATGTCTTCTTCATACGTCATTTATTCGTTTGGGCAAGTTGTAAGCTTATTGCATCAGATATTTACATACCTTGTCATTGCTTATTGTTTGACGCATTGGCAGGGTACGATATCCATGCCTAATCCTTGTATTATCAATACGGAATGTTAATGCAGTCCATTTAAAACTACGAAAATTATAAAATACAAGACAGCTATGCTCAAATATATGGACACGTAGCACCACAGAATTTGGATGACGCCATAGCAAAAAATAAAAGTAACAGCCCTCTAACAAAAAAATATAATCTTTACTCACTGAAAATTTCAAAGCAATTGGTCCAATAATAAAAGAGAAAAGCGACTTTTCAAAAACGTGTCAAAGAACACGAACAACAACAACATAATATTGAAACGATCGTTATGTCCACTACGTGTCCAATTATCGAGTAGTCATATGGGGTGCTATCCTAATACGTCTGCAGCCAGTGATACCGTGATTTTAAATGAATGATTCTATGCTCCACAAATTATTTAAATGTAGAAATGGAATTCAGCAATAAAACAGAATGAATCAGCAGCTATTAAAACACGGTGCGTGTTTAACACTGCTTCAAACTGCGTTGCGAATGTGCAGTTAGACCGCCCGCTTTATTAAAACTCACCAAAAACATAATATTAACTATGATAACGCACCAAAATGTGATTTTAAATAAAAAAGCAAAGTGTATTCGATTGTCTGGTGTCAAAGTATACAAATACGAAAGGGGATGACAAGATCTTGAAAGGTAAAAAGTATATAAATTTGATTGTAGTTACTGACGTATCAAGTGGCCATGAAAAAAAACGTGTGATGTCTTATCACATCCAATATAATTTTATATGTAATTAAAGACGAAAAGTGGTTATGGGATTAAAGTTGAAGATTTATTTCAATTATAATATTAATTACGTGGTTAATAAAGTAAATATGAGGCGAAACTAAAAATAATTTGGATGGATCCCAGTCTATGCCAAATAATCACACATCGTCATGTGAACCTGAAAGCAACATTCTTGTCAGTCGGAACTTGCATATTTGATATATATTGCCAAAATGAGAGATATAATAACGCTTTTTATTTTCATGAGACGGTTCCAGAGGGTTGACGAAGGTTTTCTGAAATAGTTGGACATAAATCGCTAAAGCTTGCTATTACCCAGCTTACGCCAATATAACTGTAGTTTATCACAGAAATACAACTCAAGCGTTTAAACAATTTATGAAATGTAACTTTGGACGATATATGAGGTACAAAAGTTTCTTGGTCGCACTTCTCTATAACGCTTTTAAATGGCTTCTGTTTATCGGCACGAAATATCTGGGGTTGTTATGACATCCCTTGGGGTTTTGAGCTAAATATCTACTAATAATATGTGACTCAGTTCCACGGACAAGTCGAAGCCTGAATGTAAGTTGAAGTTCAAAAAATCGAATGACTTGATTTACAAGCGTTTTTGAGGCAATATTTTACCATTCTATTTTCAACACTCGCCGTCATCATTGTAACACAACACTGGCTATTTCCATACAGGTTTATAACTTTATTTGAACAAAATTAGCTTCACCGTTATAAAGTTCTGATTGTAAACCCACCGATACGGTGGGGTTCGATGACAGCTTGCCTCCGCAGTCTCGCAAATGCTAAAAATCACTGCTGTATACGAAAATTTCACTTCATTGCTTTATTTTATTTGTTTACTACTGAACCTGAACGGAATCGGCTTCCTTTAGTAATTAAAATCATTAACATAGCTTTATGAGATATAAAGTTTTAATCAAAGTACTTAAAGAACTTTAAATGAGTAAAGTTAAAAATGTTATTTGTTTCCCAAAATTATTGCAAGTATCATATTTCAAATTACTGCATGAAATGCAACATGAGAGTCATATGTAAAAATCATATCCACGATCAGCCACGATCCCACTACCCAAAAAAGAGCACTGGTGTTTTGTAGAGTTAGACAACATAAAGGGTGAGTGTGTTGTAAAAAAAAGTTATAGCATGGCTTATTCAACAATGCCGAAAAAAACGGGCATATAAAATATCAACAAGTGTAAAACAGACGTTGCATTATTATTTAAATATAAATTAAAAGACATTTGAAATTGTCCTTTTTATTAATTGAATTGTGACAACAACAGTTTATATCAGTCAAATCGGAGGATGGTTTGGGAACTTCACTTTACTTGGACTAAATATGGAATACCACACTTGCACTGCAAATTCTCTGTACCCATCTCCAAGACATCATTTTGGCGTGAGGTCAACGGTGAGGACCAATATTATAACGTACCTTTCATTAGGATTTCATTAGGATTTTGCATCCGTTTTAATACTAATTTTCAAGATACAATCCAATATTAAAATATTTTGTTTAATGATCACGCTTCTCTCTCTTTTATTGTATTTAGTTTTCAAAATCTTTGAGCAAAATCGTTTATTTTCAATAATAGCATTGACACGAGATATAGCTTGCTCACATCTCCAGCCAGTAAATATGAAATCTGGATATATCTACTCGTGTGTACTGTATACGGTAATTTATAAACAATATCCTAGTTTTGGGATGTCTCCAAAACGTCTTGTCATTCGTAGATGAACCTTGTCTAAATTGTTTTACGAATTCCACTATTTATATTTATTTTAACCATATGGTCCGCAGACCGCAATAGGTATTTACATTAACTGCGATCCAACTTTTGAGCATATACCTCCCAAGCATTTCTACTGTTAACTGTCGTCAACGCAAAACACATTACAAGAAATATGGTAGGCCTACTTTTCAAATATCGGGCATCGGTCGGAATATCTTTGTTAAAGACAGCCACAATACAATAGCTTCGTTTCTAAATTTTAGTCATCTTGCCTTTCAATTTTTCTGGCCCAAAATAAATATAATTTCTTAATTACAGTTTTATGGAGAATGAAGCAAAACTTGAAAATCAAAGAAAATCAAACGGAAAGAGCAAGATGTGAGCGATTCAGTTCTCAGCTTGATCTTTATCGCACTCTCTTTCTGTAGTTACCTGATCCTCAGTCGCAACAACGAACACAAACAAATCAGATTCCACCAGCACACAATTGATGACCATAAAGTCTCTTAACAATTTAAAAAAATTATGGTACTCCCGAAGTATGTGAACCAAGACGACGGACACCGGAACGTGTCGGGGACTAGCCAAGTGACTTCCGTAGTATTTTTACCTGAAATTAAGTCCTAAGCCTAACCTCGTACACATACTACGTTGGGGGTCCGCCATCTTGGTTCACATACTTCGGGAGTACCAAAATTAATACACGGTGAAATTATGATATATCGTAATGATGGTTGTTTTATGTCAATCAGTGTTTCATAAAGTTTTTATTGACACATTTAATACACCTCTGAACGTTTAATTAAAAATATCATGGCTCTATTTAATAGGCTTCTATACGTACACTATTAGTTGCACGAAGCACATGTAGACGGTACTCAATTTCCTGCGACGTTCGTTGTAGAATCGCCTCATCAATGGTTGCAATGACATTGTAAATTCTTTGTTTTAGATTAGTCATGTCCCGTACTATTGTTTAATACACACTATTCTTTACGTAACCCCAACGAAAGAAGTCCAGAGGAGTGATGTCTGATGAACTTGGTGGTCATGGAATCGATCCATCCCTTCCAATCCATCGGTCGGGAAAAGATGTTGCTGGAATATAATGGTTGGTTGAAAGTCAATCAGTTGTGGTGTTACATATTCGGTCAGAAGGTTAAGAAAACATTTGCAGTAATTGATGACTCGTTGAAGAAAAATAGCCCAATTATTCGATTGCACATGATACCACGCCAAACATTCACCTTTCGACTATCTCGCCCTACTCGCATAAGGGTTTTTGATCTAGGCTTGCACGTGATTTACGGATTTACGGAATTATTTCGAGTTACGGAAGCGAAGTTACGAATTACGTAAATTCGTAATTATTGGTGGAGCGCTTTCGCGATTGAAACGAGCTCTCTTTAGAGCAGTCAATTCCGTCGATTGTAAAAAATTAAAGTTTAATAAGTAGAAGAAGTTAGAGTTCTGGTATTCGCAGCCGTTTTTCTCTCTCTTGTTACGCAGATGGAGAAGGCATAACGCGTTGCCATTTATTGACCTATTATCAACTTATCTAGCATGGCAAATGTACATATTAAGCGTAGATATGGGATAGAATTGTGTTGAGACCGATGGACGCCAACACACCTGGTT